CCACACTCTGCCATGTGCCACTTTCAGGTCTCCTCACACACTGCTGGTGTGTAGAATTTTTTGACATAGGGTGCTGGCAGATTACGGGCCTCCTATAGCTGCTGCCAGGCCCCTAATCTGCCATAGGCCCCTATATACCGCCTCCTCATGCTGCTGCCAGGTCCAGAGTCTCTCATGGGTCCCTGTACGGCCTCCCATTGCTGCTGTCTCCATCGCCACACTCCATGTGCCACTTTCAGGTCTCCTCACACACTGCTGGTGTGTTAGAATTTTTTGACATAGGGTGCTGGCAGATTATGGGCCTCCCTATAGCTGCTGCCAGGCCCCTAATCTGCCATAGGCCCCTATATACCGCCTCCTCATGCTGCTGCCAGGTCCAGAGTCTCTCATGGGTCCCTGTACGGCCTCCCATTGCTGCTGTCTCCATCGCCGCCACACTCTGCCATGTGCCACTTTCAGGTCTCCTCACACACTGCTGGTGTGTAGAATTTTTTGACATAGGGTGCTGGCAGATTATGGGGCCTCCCATAGCTGCTGCCAGGCCCCTAATCTGCCATAGGCCCCTATATACCGCCTCCTCATGCTGCTGCCAGGCCAGAGTCTCTCATGGGTCCCTGTACGGCCTCCCATTGCTGCTGTCTCCATCGCCACACTCTGCCATGTGCCACTTTCAGGTCTCCTCACACACTGCTGGTGTGTAGAATTTTTTGACATAGGGTGCTGGCAGATTACGGGCCTCCCATAGCTGCTGCCAGGCCCCTAATCTGCCATAGGCCCCTATATACCCGCCTCCTCATGCTGCTGCCAGGTCCAGAGTCTGTCATGGGTCCCTGTACGGCCTCCCATTGCTGCTGTCTCCATCGCCACACTCTGCCATGTGCCACTTTCAGGTCTCCTCACACACTGCTGTGTGTAGAAATTTTTTGACATAGGGTGCTGGCAGATTACGGGCCTCCCATAGCTGCTGCTGCCAGCCCCTAATCTGCCATAGGCCCCTATATACCGCCTCCTCATGCTGCTGCCAGGTCCAGAGTCTCTCATGGGTCCCTGTACGGCCTCCCATTGCTGCTGTCTCCATCGCCACACTCTGCCATGTGCCACTTTCAGGTCTCCTCACACACTGCTGGTGTGTAGAATTTTTTGACATAGGGTGCTGCAGATTACGGGCCTCCCATAGCTGCTGCCAGGCCCCTAATCTGCCATAGGCCCCTATATACCGCCTCCTCATGCTGCTGCCAGGTCCAGAGTCTGTCATGGGTCCCTGTACGGCCTCCCATTGCTGCTGTCTCCATCGCCACACTCTGCCATGTGCCACTTTCAGGTCTCCTCACACACTGCTGGTGTGTAGAATTTTTTGACATAGGGTGCTGGCAGATTACGGGCCTCCCATAGCTGCTGCCAGGCCCCTAATCTGCCATAGGCCCCTATATACCGCCCGCCTCCTCATGCTGCTGCCAGGTCCAGAGTCTGTCATGGGTCCCTGTACGGCCTCCCATTGCTGCTGTCTCCATCGCCACACTCTGCCATGTGCCACTTTCAGGTCTCCTCACACACTGCTGGTGTGTAGAATTTTTTGACATAGGGTGCTGGCAGATTATGGGCCTCCCATAGCTGCTGCCAGGCCCCTAATCTGCCATAGGCCCCTATATACCGCCTCCTCATGCTGCTGCCAGGTCCAGAGTCTGTCATGGGTCCCTGTACGGCCTCCCATTGCTGCTGTCTCCATCGCCACACTCTGCCATGTGCCACTTTCAGGTCTCCTCACACACTGCTGGTGTGTAGAATTTTTTGACATAGGGTGCTGGCAGATTACGGGCCTCCCATAGCTGCTGCCAGGCCCCTAATCTGCCATAGGCCCCTATATACCGCCTCCTCATGCTGCTGCCAGGTCCAGAGTCTCTCATGGGTCCCTGTACGGCCTCCCATTGCTGCTGTCTCCATCGCCACACTCTGCCATGTGCCACTTTCAGGTCTCCTCACACACTGCTGGTGTGTAGAATTTTTTGACATAGGGTGCTGGCAGATTATGGGCCCTCCTATAGCTGCTGCCAGGCCCCTAATCTGCCATAGGCCCCCTATATACCGCCTTCCTCATGCTGCTGCCAGGTCCAGAGTCTGTCATGGGTCCCTGTACGGCCTCCCATTGCTGCTGTCTCCATCGCCACACTCTGCCATGTGCCACTTTCAGGTCTCCTCACACACTGCTGGTGTGTAGATTTTTTGACATAGGGTGCTGGCAGATTATGGGCCTCCCATAGCTGCTGCCAGGCCCCTAATCTGCCATGGGCCCCTATATACCGCCTCCTCATGCTGCTGCCAGGTCCAGAGTCTGTCATGGGTCCCTGTACGGCCTCCCATTGCTGCTGTCTCCATCGCCACACACTCTGCCATGTGCCACTTTCAGGTCTCCTCACACTGCTGGTGTGTTGAATTTTTTGACATAGGGTGCTGGCAGATTATGGGCCTCCTATAGCTGCTGCTGCCAGGCCCCTAATCTGCCATAGGCCCCTATATACCGCCTCCTCATGCTGCTGCCAGGTCCAGAGTCTGTCATGGGTCCCTGTACGGCCTCCCATTGCTGCTGTCTCCATCGCCACACTCTGCCATGTGCCACTTTCAGGTCTCCTCACACACTGCTGGTGTGTAGAATTTTTTGACATAGGGTGCTGGCAGATTATGGGCCTCCCATAGCTGCTGCCAGGCCCCTAATCTGCCAGGCCCCTATAACCGCCTCCTCATGCTGCTGCCAGGTCCAGGTCCCCTCATGGGTCCCTGTACGGCCTCCCATTGCTGCCAGTCTCCCATCGCCACACTCTGCCATGTGCCACTTTCAGGTCTCCTCACACTGCTGGTGTGTTGAATTTTTTGACATAGGGTGCTGGCAGATTACGGGCCTCCCATTGCTGCTGCCAGGCACGTAATCTGCCATGGGCCCCTATACCGACTCCTCATGCTGTGACGTTGCAACAAGGTGGAATTCAACCCTACATATGTTAGACCGCCTTTACGAACAGCGAAAGGCCATCACGATTTCCTGATGTTAAAAGCGGATAAAGGTACTCCCTGTGTAACTTAGATGTCAGCCATTGGCAGCTCATGCGTGACACCTGCTTGCTCAGGCCCTTTGAGGAGGCCACGCTATTCGTGAGTCGGCAGGACTATGGGATGAACGACGTCATTCCTCTGTTGCACGTCCTGGAACAAATGCTGTTAACAATGGCTGGTCAGGGTGCGGTAGACGTGGCGCACAGATCTCAACGCCACATGACCCCTGTGGGGGCAGGACAGGAAGAAGAGGAGGAGGTAGAGGAGGACATTGGTGCTCAGGAATTATTGAGTGAAATGGGTGGTTTTTTCCACTCAGCGGACAGGAGTGGAGGAGCAGGAGCATCTGGTAGAGGAGGAGGGAGGAGGAGGAGACAGAGGACCCAGACGCACCGTGGCAGTATGCTGTGGAGATGGAGGCAGGGAGTCCCTCGCATTCCTTGGCACAAATGGCCCATAGCATGCTCGCTTGCTTGCGTAGCGACAGCCGAATAATAACCATCAGACAGAGGGATGACTTTTGGCTGTCCACCTTGTTGGACCCTCGCTACCGTTCGTTAAATGGTGGCCTTTTTCACACCTGCTGAGAGGGAGGCCAAAATAACGTACTATAAAAACCACCTATGTAGTCAGCTGGTCTCTGCCTGTCTGCGCCAACGTCCATCCTCAGACACTGTGGGCCCTGTGCGCTCGCATCGCGTTCCGCTGCCATGGCAGCAGGGGAGGGGGGTGGGGTGGTAGGAGCAGTGGCAGCTCCACCAGCAGCGGCTGCCTCAGTCTGCAGTCGATGATGAGTAGCTTTCTTCACCAGCGCAGTGAGGAAACTACTAACCAGCCGCAGCAGCAGCAGCAGCAGCAGCATCAGGTGACCTGGAGCAGGACCTCAAACAACAGGCTTAGGCCTACTTGGACAGCACCCTGCCAACCGAGGTAGACAATCCCCTTGACTACTGGGCAACGAAACTTGACCTTTGGCCCCAACTAGCTGAATTTGCCCTTGAAAGGCTGTCATGCCCGGCCAGTAGCGTGGCATCGGAGCGCGTGTAGAGCGGCCGTGTTTAGTGCGGCAGGAGGTATTGCAACTCCGCGGAGGACACGACTGTCCACCCAAAGTGTGGAGAGACTGACGTTTGTGAAAATGAATCAGGCGTGGATTAGTCTGGATTTCAAACCACCAGTTCCTGACACAACTGACTAAATCCGCCATGAATCATGCCCCAAACATGTGCCACTTTCAGGTCTCCTCACACTGCTGGTGTGTTCCATTTTTTGTCATAGGGTGCTGGCAGATTACGGGCCTCCCATAGCTGCTGCCAGGCCCCTAATCTGCCATGGGCCCCTATACCGCCTCCTCATGCTGCTGCCAAGTCCAGAGTCTCTCATGGGTCCCTGTACGGCCTCCCATTGCTGCTGTCTCCATCGCCACACTCTGCCATGTGCCACTTTCAGGTCTCACACACTGCTGGTGTGTAGAATTTTTTGACATAGGGTGCTGGCAGATTACGGGCCTCCCATAGCTGCTGCCAGGCCCCTAATCTGCCATAGGCCCCTATATACCCGCCTCCTCATGCTGCTGCCAGGTCCAGAGTGTGTCATGGGTCCCTGTGTACGGCCTCCCATTGCTGCTGTCTCCATCGCCACACTCTGCCATGTGCCACTTTCAGGTCTCCTCACACTGCTGGTGGGTTCCATTTTTTGTCATAGGGTGCTGGCAGATTACGGGCCTCCCATAGCTGCTGCCAGGCCCCTAATCTGCCATGGGCCCCTGTTGTCGCTTGTTGGCATATTCCGCTCGTTCAGATGCTCCTTCTCCTGCTACTCCTCTTCACGGATTCCGTCAGCAGTCTTTCTTGGAATCCGTTTCCAAGAGACAACAGTTTGCGAGCACGCACCAGACGGTGCAGAAACTGAACGTCCTCCTGTCCAAGTTGCTGCTGCCAGGCTCGTAATCTGTCATGCGCCCCTGTACCGCCTCCTCATGCTGCTGCCAGGTCCAGAGTGTGTCATGGGCCCCCGTACCGACTCCAAATGCTGCTGCCAGGCCCGTAATCTGTCATGGGCCCCTGTACCGCCCTCCCCATGCTGCTGCCACGTCCAGATTGTGTCATGGGTCCCTGTACGGCCTCCCATTGCTGCTGCCAGGCCTGTAATCTGCCATGGGCCCCCGTACCGACTCCTCATGCTGCTGCCAGGCCCGTAATCTGCCATGGGCCCCTGTACCCCGCCTCCTCATGCTGCTGCCAGGTCCAGAGTGTGTCATGGGTCCCTGTACGGCCTCCCATTGCTGCTGTCTCTATCGCCACACTCTGCCATGTGCCACTTTCAGGTCTCCTCACACTGCTGGTGGTTTCCATTTTTGTCATAGGGTGCTGTATGGCCTCCCATTGCTGCTGCCTCCACCGCCACACTGTGGCTCCACACTCTGGTTTTGGCCCCGTGACTGGCCAAATGAGTGAAGTGTGCGGTGATTCTAAGATCGACGGCACTCATCTGCATGTCATACTGCCTGACAGTATTATTTCTCTTCCCCAGCAGACTCCAAGGGCATTTAAATTAAAGGTACAGTGTTCAGCACTAATATTAAGTCTCTCTGAAGCCTAGAAACACCCTTTTTTAAGTTAAATTCACAGCGAATATATTCGACTCGAATCGAAATTTTTCTACGAATTCGCCGAATCAGTCGAATCGAATTTTTGAATACTTCGCTCATCTCTAATTATTACGTTTAATTCTAGGGCCCAGGAGATTCTCTCTGTCCCAAATTACCGACTTCTATAATCTCATTATCCAAAATGTCAGTATTATACCCTTTTTCAACAAATTGAGATTTGAGAACGTTAACTTGGGAAGTGTAATCCTCCAATTTGTTGCAAATTTCTGCGAATACATAAAAATTGACTTTTGGGGACCCCATTTAGCCATCTGGGATGATGGCAACTAGATTTTGGGATGAAACTGTTTCGATCAGTAATTTTGAAGAAACTTTTAGTTAAAATGCTTGTCCCCTCTTGAAAAAGTGTTAAATCTAAAAAGTTTATTTCGTGATAACTGTATTCATATGTCAGCTTGATATTAAAATTGTTATAATTTAGAGTATTAAAAAATTAATTAGCGTGAATTCGTCTCCCTTCCATAGGAGTAAAATATCGTCTATATAGCATTTATAAAAAACAAGGTCAGGCCAATCCCTAGAGTAAATTATCTCTTCCTCCCAGTTGGCCATGAACAAATTGGCCAAGCTGGGGGCAAACTTTGCCCCCATAGCAACACCAGTGGTTTTCAGATAGTATTTGTCACCAAACCAAAAATAATTATGTGTCATTGCGAAATCAAGGAGTTCCATAATAAAAAATGTTTGTGATATTGGAATGTCATCAGATTTGTTTAAGTAAAAATCCACTGCCGTCAACCCATCAATATGTTTTATATTGCTATATAATGTGTGGCAGTGCGGTGTCCTGCCACGGTCAAACTCAAGTTGAAAACCCTGGATTCTCAACCAGGCAGGTTGAGGGGCTCCAGAGAGTTAATGTATTGCAGAGGAAACTGACTTTTCGGTTTTCTCATTTATTTATTAAGTTTGTTTTGGGGATCTGGAGCCTGGAGATTTCGAAGAGATCTGGGAGGGATGAAATCTCCAATCCGGGGTCCGTGTTTTGAGAACCCCCAGCACACTGAGTGCACAGGTGTGTACAGGCCTTTTTATAGGGTCCTAACCATAGTTCTGGGCTCCACCCCGGCAAACGGAGTCAGGAGGGCTCCACAACGGCAGGCAGGAGGTCTCTGCCTTGGAGTCAGGTGGAAGCCAGACTAGCTGTGTGCTAGTGCCATATTTTGGGAATACTCTGCAGGAGACAGAGTTAAAACTATGTACAAGCCAGGAGGCTGAATACTGTTAATTTGATTGATGGTGGATACCCCTGCGTGGGAAGCATTTTATTTGAACTTTCTTGTAAATAAAATTGGGCAAAAAGGCCCTTAAATAGAAGCGAGTTGCTTTGTACTTTGAAAAAGCTCTACCAGTTTAAGCGAGTTCCCACAAATGACACTACATCCGCCGTCACTAAGTACGTGGGATGTTGTAACTCAATAGTTTTTAGGTCCACTAACACCTGCTTAGTGTCTTTTTAAAGGAGTGTTAATAACCAGCGGTTGCAGAAAAAAATCTATATATGCGTGACGTTAAAGATCCTATACCGCTTACTATTGGTCTTCCGGGGGTTTTAACCGGATTTTTATGGACTTTTGGTAAGCAGTAGAAGACAGGTAATCTGGGAGCAATAGGACAAAGATAATCCTTCTCTTTCTTGCTCAATATACCTTCTTCATAACCTTTTTCAGAATGCACTTAAGAGTCTTTTTATACGACATCAAAGGATTATTTTGTAATACTTTATACGTATTGCTATCATTCAATATGTCACCAACTTGTGCTATGTAGTCTTTTTTATCAAGGACAACAACTCCGCCCCCTTTATCCGCAGGGTGAATAACTAATTATTTTTCTATTAACAGATCGTCTTTCAGTTTCTCCATTTTTTTGGGGCCTTTGGAGTCCCAATTATTGATTTTTAATTTCTCTAAATCCTTTAGGACCATATTCCTAAAGATAGAAATATGGGAGTGGGCCAGAGGGTTAAATAGGGAGGCGTTTTTTAAATGTGATGATTTTATATGTATCGGGCCTTGGGTATTGGTCTGTCTAGTTAGAGGGTTATTAAGAAAATATCTTTTCATGGCCAAGCGTCTAGTAAATTTATGTATGTCCACAAAAGTGTTAAATTTATTCAGGTTGGTACTTGGTGCAAATTTTAAGCCTTTATTCAACACTGATAATTCTTTATCGGTTAGCACTTTCGAGCTAGGATTAAAAATACCTTCCTTATCTATGTTCTGCGTTTTTTGTCTGTTGATCGCTTTCCTCCTCTTCTTCCTCTGCTCGTATATTTCTTTTGTTGTGCCTGGCCTCTCCCTAAAAAATGGTCCTGTTGGTATTCAGGATGTGTTTGTGATCTTGGATAATAATCCTCCTGTGGTTTTCCATTGTGATGGTAGTCTTGGTTAGGGCGTAGCGGTTCATTATATGATGTATGCGGATTATGATGCTTAAAACCCTTTTTTTTCCCCTTATTAGAATTAGATTGTCTGTAATCGAGGGGGTTTGGTTATGGGTGTAATTGGTCTGGAATTGGTTATGTTCTTGCCAATACATCCTCTGTCCCCCTCGGTCATTGTTAGCGTTACCTTGGTAGTATTGTTGATATTGGTTATAATTGTGTGGTCTATGGTTATCATTATAATGTTGATGTGGTTTGTACTGATTTGTTGGAAGAGATCTCATATCTCGATACCCAGTGGATGGACTATAAGAATTTTGTAATGGTGTGTAAATCTATTCCTAGTGGGTATATTCGGTGAAGGTTGATACATATTATCATGGTGTGACTGAGGTGGGCCTCTGGGGGTGTGCGGGGGTCTAAAAGAGTTTTTCCTCCCTCCATTCCCTCTAAAATTGAGGTTCCCTTTATTTTGTAAAACATAAATAATGATATGTATCTAGATATACATATACGTGCCGCGCTCCACATTTAAAACTAAACTACTCATAGTGAATGATATTACAAATAATACCGTGAAAACAGAGTGCTTCAAACAAGTGCAACATAAAGTGTGTAAATCAAAAAAATGGAATTTATAAAAATAATATTCTGCCAATTATATAACAGTCCTCTTTATGCTTCTATAGGTGAAGTATATAGTGCCACACTTCCCGTGCTCTGTGGATAGGTGTGCGCTCACCTCCTTGTTAGCCAGACAAGCTGGCTAAACACACTTTTTGTCCTCACTGGACAAGGTGGGAATCTTTACTTTAGCTGCGTATCTCCATCCAATGCTGGGTTGCCTTATTGCCACCAGAGGTCTCCCTCCTTCCACACTTAACCCTCAATGGATTTCTTATGGGGGTGGTAAAGATGACTTTTCCTCCTCTCAATTGCACCATGTAAAAAACAAAAAAACCACAAATGGTGCCTTATCCTTTGTGAGGTCAGAGCCTATTTATTATTAGGAAAACGCCACTCACATTTGATCCATAAGTGCAGTTATCAGCTGGCATGTGTATCAATCCTGTTTAGCTGGCGCCGCTCGTCCACCGCGGCGTCGTGACGTCAGAGCCCCTCCCCTACGCGTTACGCCACAGGGTCACGTGGCTTCATCAGGGGGATTGTAATAAGACGTCACTGCGCTCTGCTCTCTATATATAGAGACAGTCGGCGCCATTTTCTTGTGGTCCGCATGGGCGCGGCCATTTTCCTATGGTTTGTGTGCACCGATCTACTTCTGATGTGTGTAACACACATCAGAGGTTCTATTTAGAGTAACGGGTGTGCTTGTACCTATTCTGACTTCATTGTCACAACTCACCAGCCTCCAGGATCATGAGACACACGCAGCTTTACAAATAATGGATACAATCCAAAGAACGGGTTACATGCATAATACTATTAGAATCTATCTATATTAATAATTTAAATATGTGCTCGTATTAAAACATAATGCAATTTAATTATCCCTACCAAATGAAATATATATGTATATGTACCTTTTAATTACCATACCCATATATAAGTATACACAACTGATAAAATTACATAAAATTACAATATAAAAACTATGGAGTAAAAATTAAAAATATAAAAGATAAAATCCATCAACCCAATACATCATATGAGGCCCTCATGTCCGCCTCATACCACCTGACACCCCATTCTATATCCTATCTTTATTTATATCCCTGTTCATATATATTCCTCATTATTAGTATTATATCACTTCAGCATCCACTACAACCTATTCCTTTAATTCACACTAAGAACTATTTCCTATTATTTAACACTACTGTATGATTGTGTGATTGTGAATGTATGCTGTCTCTATCTCTCAATGGTTACTACTCTCCATACAGCTCCTTACAATATAATTATGTATTTCTATAATCCCTATTGAGGGTGATAACAGATACATTAAAATACTCTTTACACATTACTAATAAAACACGTGAGGTCAAATTCCTTGTTCAAACCATGCGGGGCCATACATTTCATTTCATAGATCCATTTGGATTCTTTTTTGCTTATCTCCCGTACCAGATTATCGCCTCTCCAATGTCTATTATGCTTCTCTATTCCCCAAAATTGTAATTTGGATGCATCTTGATTGTGACATAGTCGGAAGTGGTCTGAAACATAGTGGTATTTATATCCTCTATTAATGTTGTATACATGCTCCTTAATGCGTTCTTTTAGTGCTCTTTTTGTTCTGCCAATATATAAAAGATTGCATGGACACTTCAACGCATACACCACTCCCTTCGTTTCGCAGGTCATAAAACTGTTTAATTTTATATTCCTTATTATTGTGTGTATTGATAAATGTGAATCTCCGTCTCGGGTTAGCTACGACTCTCTTGCATCCATAGCATCTCCCGCATGCATAGAACCCTTCACCTTGAAAAAAAGTGTAGTTGGAATTTTTCAGTGGTTCCAATACATTTTTTACCAACGTATCTCTTAAGTTGGGTGCCT